TTATAAAGGTGGCCTGGAATGACCTTAAAGATATAGAAAAGGTAAGGCTTAGCTTATAAAGGTGGCCTGGAATGACCCTAAAGATATAGAAAACGTAAGGCTTAGCTTATAAAGGTAGCCTGGAATGACCCCAAAGATATAGAAAAGGTAAGGCTTAGCTTGTAAAGGTGGCCTGGAATGACCCCAAAGATATAGAAAAGGTAAGGCTTGGCTTATAAAGGTAGCCTGGAATGACCCCAAAGATATAGAAAAGAAAAGGCTTATCTTGTAAAGGTAGCCTGGAATGACCCCAAAGATATAGAAAAGGTAAGGCTTAGCTTGTAAAGGTAGCCTGGAATGACCCCAAAGATATAGAAAAGGTAAGGCTCAGCTTACAAAGATGGCCTGGAATGACCCCAAAGATATAGAAAAGGTAAGGTTTAGCTTGTAAAGGTAGCCTGGAATGACCCCAAAGATATAGAAAAGGTAAGGCTTAGCTTATAGACATAACCACATTATACAAAGATATAGAAAAGGTAAGGCTTAGCTTATAAAGGTGGCCTGGAATGACCCCAAAGATATAGAGAAGGAATAGTGGAGTGACAATTCTAGAAAAAGATGCTTAGTTTTCGAGTTTAATGGACCGGCATACCCTACGGCTGAAAGTTATATTTTATAAAAGAGACATCCCTCCTCATTCATTTTCGCCCGGTCGTAGAGTTTTCTCAAGTCAATTTTTTTTTTAACTTGCGATGAAAGTGAAAAGGGGGGGGGGGGGGTATTTAAGTCATTTATTTTACTTGCTGTTAATATTCTTTTTCAAAGATTAATTATTAATTTGAAAAAATACTAATTTGTGTGTGATAGGATAGCTACATTTACAATGCAAAATTAATCAGGAATTTTTTTGCCCCCCCCCCCCTTTAAAAAAACTGTTTTATTATAGAAACTGCGTTAATTTCAACAAAATATATTCAATACAATTATTTCAAGCAATATTAATAACAAATGTTTACTTAAGCGTTAGAAAGGTTTATAAGATATTGATTTCTGATCAAATAAACCGCATTTTTTAAAAGAGATCCTCACACTAAATCTTGTATTCTACTTGATCTAAAATGTTTTGTGTAACTAGAAACGGATATAGAATCCCATTATTTCTATGACAGTGACTCCATCGATCAAAATATTGTTAAATATATTAAATTGGCTTCTATTATTAATAAGATAACGCTAATATTCAGTTTGAATTTCAAGTAATGAGCATTTGAAAGCAATTTTCCTTTTTTTCAATTTAAAAAAAATACGTAAAGGACAAACATGTCACTTTTCCTTCACATTCTTGTTTGAACAAGGTATCTTTGCATGATTGGATATTGCCTCTCTACTTCATAAGCAATACAGGTTAACGCAAGTATGAAACAGAAAGAGAAAAAAAACGATTTTAGTATTTCATCTTAAAGACTTCCATCACTTTACAGAAACTATTTGATTTTTTTTTTTTAATATATTAAGTATTTTCTACAGGAAAAACATGGACTTTGTCATTATTTAAACTAAGGGATACATATAATTTTGTTTACGCATTTCCTCATTAACATGTACATACTGCCAAAAATTAAATTTTGTGACTATAATCCTTTATGAGTGGGGATATCATATTTTGCTTACAGTACTTAAGTTTTCTTTTGGAAAGATGTACCAGAAAGGAAGATATGAATCAAACAGAACCGTAAAAGCAATCCACTGAAGTTTTTGCTTGGAAAACTCATGGTTTGTTCTGTCATAAAAAAGCTTTTTCGATATTTTTCCTTTTGAGAAAGCATTGTCAGTTTTGCTTCAAGAATTAATTGTGTAATATTAATTTTACAAATTTCAATGGCGAAAAAAGACATAGTACTATATATATACGGTATCTTTAACCAACCACAGAAACAAGAAGGGGTTTTCAACATTCTTTTTAGGACTTTTGATGAAATGACAAAGATTACTGAGTATTAAGGCAATCAGCCTTTTTTTCAAAATTCAAAGATATTTCCGGTCAGCAGATGAAAAAGCCACGCACGACATGCATTTAATGTGAATATTTCCACGTGATCAACATTTTGCACTGTTCTAATTATTATCTACCCACCTAAGTATCTTTTTAAGGATCGGCTATCATTACTTTTACAGTGTAGCTCTTTTACAAATTTTCTACTTTTATAGTTTTCGAATGAAGCATATTCTTGAAAAGTTAACAATAAAGATATACATGTACGTGCATGTACATGAAACTAATGAATAGAAATTACAACTCTAGCAAACGTATTACGTCATTAATTTGACTCTTCACCCCTTTTCAAAGAATTGCAACTTTAACATCAATACGTGTTTAAAATCTTTCAAAACTGTAAAATCTCTACTATATAAGCTGCTTAATTTATTAGTAAATGCTTTTTCCAAAGTTCGCCAAATTAAGCGTAAATTTTCAAATCATAGACAACATTCATTGATAAAAAATTGACCTTTTTAGACAGAGAAATGAATAACATTAAGACTTTAAGTATTTTGTTGTCTGTCCTTTGGATGAGACCGGAGTACCGAAATTCAGTTTGAGAGCAAGGATGACCTCTAGAAGAATTTTCAATAAAAAAGCTTTTTAAAAAGCATCGAACAATTTCTTTAAAAAATAATGAATCAGATGAAAAAGGCTTAATAAAAACATATTACATTTAAAAAAGTGCGAAATTTATGGTCATATTTTGTTTTTTTTTAGGGGGGTGGGGGGTTTGGGGTGATGGGTGTTGTTCTTCTTGTTTTATTTTTCTTTATTTTGTGTACTAAATATTACGTGATTATACGTAAAGAATAAGGTACATTTAGCATTAAACCTTTTTAGTTTAAATATAACACTATAAGACAAACCTTTTATTTTACAGACAGACAAACGGGCATTCTTATTCAATTTTTCGTTCCTTTTCCATGAAATCAATATATTCACCGAATAAATAAAATTCCTTTACAAATATACATTATTTTCATGGATTCCTTGAACTTTTCTTTATATATACAATATTATGGTCAGATTTCATTCATTGATCTTTAATCTCCCTTTATTTTAAATTTTGACCATAGAATTTTTTACGACCGTGCAAAAATTATTGCCTGATAATATATCTGACCAAAAAAGTACAAATCAGCCGTAGGGTAGGGTGGTACATTAAATTCAAATTTTTGATGGTCTTGTCACTCCACTAGAAAGGCTTAGCTTGTAAAGGTAGCCAGGAATGACCCCAAAGATATAGAAAAGGTAAGGCTTAGCTTGTAAAGGTAGCCTGGAATGACCCCCAAAGATATAGAAAAGGTAAGGCTTAGCTTATAGACATAACCACATTATACAAAGTTATAGAAAAGGTAAGGCTTAGCTTATAAAGGTGGCCTGGAATGACCCCAAAGATATAGAGAAGGAAAGGCTTAGCTTGTAAAGTATAAGGTGGCCTGGAATGACCCCAAAGATATAGAAAAGGTAAGGCTTAGCTTATAGACGTAACCACATTATACAAAGATATAGAAAAGGTAAGGTTTAGCTTGTAAAGGTAGCCTGGAATGACCCCAAAGATATAGAAAAGGTAAGGCTTAGCTTATAGACATAACCACATTATACAAAGATATAGAAAAGGTAAGGCTTAGCTTATAAAGGTGGCCTGGAATGACCCCAAAGATATAGAGAAGGTAAGGCTTAGCTTATAAAGTATAAGGTGGCCTGGAATGACCCCAAAGATATAAAAAAGGTAGGGCTTAGCTTGTAAAGGTGGCCTGGAATGACCCCAAAGATATAGAAAAGGTAAGGCTCGGCTTATAAAGGTGGCCTGGAATGACCCCAAAGATATTGAAAGGGTAGGGCTTAGCTTATAAAGGTGGCCTGGAATGACCCCAAAGATATAGAAAAGGTAAGACTCAGCTTATAGACTAACCACAATATACATTAAACAAGGGTATGCTGAACATGCTTATAATGAACATATTTTACTTTATTGGAGTGATTTTCATTTCCTGTAGTTTTAAAGTATATTTTGAACTTAGAGAATTTAATGAACAAAACTTGTTTGTTTGTGCCACTTTGCTGTAAGAATGAGTTAGTGCAGTACAAAACAGAAGATGCTGTCAACAAGTACAAAACTTTGCAGAGGTGTTAAGTCAATCACACAGTAAAAATTCTTGAAAAATTTAATACTAATGTTAGTAGCAGTTTTGTTTGTTTCTAGGGATTTAAATACCTGTACCTGACCCCTGTTGATTTTAAGAAAGTTAGTGCCATGAATTCCGTCCATGCTGAGCTTATAGAAGATGAGGGAGAACCCAGATATAAAATTATTGATGTCATAGGTAAGGCCTTCATTTGACCATAACATCTTAAACTTGAGTCTAAGGTTGATGATTGTCAGAACAATGTTCTTTTTTCATCTGATCAGTAAATTCAATGTTTGTTATATTTACAGGTAGAGAGGAAGGTCTAGGGGTAGAGAATTTAAGAGGATCAGGAATGATTGCCGGGGAGTCATCTATAGCTTACAATGATATCATTACAATCAATTTGGTTAGTACTTGATTTTAAACCTTTACTGCTTAATTGTTACTAATGGTATAAAATTGATTTAAAGACTGAAAAAAGAAGTTAGGAAATGCAAAAGGGGATCTATATTGGAAGGCCCTACAGATTAGCTCCCAGTTTAAGACTATATTTGAATGTTATATATTTAGGTAACCTGTCAAGCTATATGTAGAGGTGCCTTTCTGGTTTATAGCTTACAGATTGTTCTATATTTAGGTATAGGTATAAGTGCCTATCTGGTTTATAGCTTACAGATTGTTCTATATTTAGGTTACCTGTCGAACTATAGGTATAAGTGCCTATCTGGTTTATAGCTTACAGATTGTTCTATATTTAGGTTACCTGTCGAGCTATAGGTATTGGTGCCTATCTGGTTTGTGTGTAGCTTACAGATTGTTCTATATTTAGGTTACCTGTCGAGCTATAGGTATAAGTGCCTATCTGGTTTTATAGCTTACAGATGCTCTATATTTAGGTAACCTGTCGAGCTATAGGTATTGGTGCCTATCTGGTCAGACTGGGACAGAGAACTATACAAGTGGAGAACTCACACATCATCCTCACTGGTGCAGGTGCACTTAACAAGGTATGCTATTACTTTAAGGATGAAAGACACTTTGTAGTTTGCACAAAATATAAAGTTCTGAACTACAGTTAATGCAGACATAAAATGAGTGTATCAATAAAAATGAAAAGCTAAAATATATGATATTTTGTCATCTTCACACTTGCAATATTATTTATTAGTCTTGATGTTGTTACATGTACTGATCTGAGAAAGTAACTTTTGAAGTTAATTAAAAGAAGTTTAATTAATGTCACTGTTAATTAAAACACAGGTCCTTGGTAAGGAGGTGTACACCAGTAACAATCAGCTGGGAGGAATCCAGATCATGTACACTAACGGAGTCACACACGACGTAACAGCTGACGACTTCGAGGGCGTCTACAAAATCATCAAGTGGCTGTCATATATGCCTAAGGTACATTACATTGTAACAACTGGCACCAGAGAATAGAGTGAAACTTACATACACCAAAAAGAAAACAGTGTTCTTATAATTAGATAAAATATTCACAGGATTTTTTTTCTCACTTTTACAGAGGCAATCTTTTATTTACTTGAATTGTTTTATAAGTGTAAGGGTTCCCCATTACCAGTACAAGACTAGACATGGGGGACCCTATAGATGGACTGATAGTCATTAGGGTAATTTATCTGAATTGTTGTTTCATTGTAAAGGTTCCCCATTACCATTACTAGGTACTGGTGATCCTATAGATACAACAGCATTCATTGGACATTAAAATTTATCTGAAATATTGTTTCAGTGTAAAGGTTCCCCATTACCAGTACTAGATACAGGGGATCCTATAGACAGACTGGTGGACTTCATCCCCACAAAGGCTCCCTACGATCCCAGGTGGATGCTGAATGGACGACAAAATCCAGGTAATCTAGAAGTTTTTATCAAATTAGCACAGTCAATAAATTAATGCTAAAACTTTTTATTGAAGGATGAATATTGTAATACCTTTATCAATTACTGTTGTGTTAATTGTAGATGATAAGAATTCCTGGCAGAAAGGCTTCTTTGATCACAAGTCTTTCCATGAAATCCTACAGCCTTGGGCACAAACAGTGGTCACAGGTCGAGCAAGGTTTGTCTCCCTTTATGCATTTACTGTTTCAGTTGCTGTATATTATACAATTATAAATCCAAGAAGTATTAAATAGACATATATCAAAGGAAGAGGAAACCTTGAGCTGTGTTATTTTTATGTGCGTGTCTGTGTTGCAGGTTGGGCGGGATCCCCGTGGGGGTGATTTGTGTAGAGACCAGAACAGTAGAAATGACCATACCAGCCGATCCTGCCAATCTAGACTCAGAGACCAAGGTACAGATTAAAATCCTTATTTTCCTTTGTACAGTCATCAAGTGTATTATTAGAGAATTATGTCTAAACTATGTTAAAATAAAACTGAGTTTTTTTGTTAAAAAAAATTTTTGCTCCAAATTATTATTAAATTTAAATCTTTTTAAGATATGATATGATTTTAAACTGAGGATTCTTGTTAAAAGGACTAGACTTTAAAAACGAAATTTTGTTTAAATGAAATCGCTCCGACTTGTAGGTGATACAACAAGCAGGTCAGGTATGGTTCCCAGACTCGGCCTATAAGACAGCTCAGGCCATTAAGGACTTCAACAGAGAGGACCTCCCTCTGATGGTGTTTGCAAACTGGAGAGGATTCTCAGGGGGAATGAAAGGTACAGGATGTTTTTAATTAAGATCATGGGTTTGACATGTTTTTATATGTTATATTCCAATGTTTTGTTCAAATTATTTGTCTGGAAAGGTTTTACTGAAAAATTTTATGACACAGTTTTATTCTTTACAGTACTTTAGGTTGATCATGACATTGCTGAAAATTTTAGGTTGAATGTATTTTCAATTTCTATGGTAGAGATATTTGCAGAAACCTGTTTTACATTTGATTTTGCTCAATAAGACAATTTATGATAAAATATTGTGAATATAACATTTAATAAATTGCTCATTTTTATGTAAAATAAAATACTTATATTTTTTGATAAAAATTATTGAATATGTATTGCAATCTTGTAAAACAATGTTCATATTTTCAGATATGCACGACCAAGTCCTTAAGTTTGGCTCCTACATTGTGGATGCCCTCACAGAGTATAATCAACCCATCATGATTTACATCCCCCCATATGCCGAGCTGAGGGGTGGAGCCTGGGTAGTGGTTGACCCAACAATTAACCCCACCCACATGGAAATGTATGCGGATGAACTCAGCAGGTATGAAGTCTTGATTGAGGATTTAAAGAGAAGTGAATATTGAAGTATGAAATTCTTCTCTTAGCTGCATGGAGAAACTAAGAAAATTATTCTAAGATAACAAGGCAAAAAAGTTTGTTTAATAAAAAAAATGGCTTGATTCTTTACTTACAATCATGCATGCCTCCTTTGTAGGGAGAGGGCTAAAATAGGCTTTTTCTTGCTGCCTATCTGTGCATAAAATATAATATTGTATGTCTTTGATTTTAAAAGAGATATTTTCATGCACATATTTACTTAAAAATGGAAAGAAAAAAAAATGTTTAAATTCATCTCTTTTCGAGTCTTCTATACTTTCTCCCCAAATGTACAGTCTAAATGATTGTGATGATTTTATCCCCACATCTCCAGTCATGTAAGGTATTGTAACAATTAAATTCTAGGGGAGGTGTTCTTGAGCCAGAGGGAACAGTTGAAATCAAGAGTTTAGACAAGTTTTAAAAAATCTCATTTTTTAATACTTTCATGCACATTTTTACTCAAGAAAGGAAGGAAAATTTTAAATCTCTTTCATTTCAAGTCTTCCAGAACTTTGTCCCCAAATGCACATTTGGTCTGAATAAATATTGTGATAATTTAATTCTAGGGGAGGTGTCCTTGAACCAGAGGGAACCGTAGAAATCAAGTTCAGGAGGAAGGACCTGGAGAAGACCATACAGAGACTGGACCAGACGTGTCGCCAGATCGTGGAGAAACTGACCAGTCCACAGCTGAATCCAGACGAGAAGGAGGAGCTCCAGAAACAGCTGGCAGCTCGCCAGGAAAAGTTACTCCCCATGTACCACCAGGTGGCGATACAGTTCGCTGACCTCCATGACACTCCTGGGAGAATGGAGGAAATGGGGGTTATTACTGTGAGTGTAATTCAAAGAGATAAATGAAAAGAAATAATTGAAAGTTATGAATCTTATTTCAAAGTATATTTCTGACAATGATGTATCTTTATGACATTCTTTATTGACAACTATCAGATAAGATTACATAGCTAAAATTTCATTTCTTTAGTTATGAGTATTTTTCTTCAGAATTACACTTCACATGTTTATAACTCTAGATCTGAAGCACAATGTATTAAGTTTCTTTTTGGTCACACAGGACATACTTAAATGGCAGAAGAGCCGTGAATTCTTCTACTGGCACCTGAAGAGGAGGTTGTTAGAAAGGCAGCTTAAGAAGAAGATGAAGCAGTTCACACAGAACGTCGGGGAGGGGGAGCTCAACTCCATGTTACATCGCTGGTTTGTGGAGGACAGGGGCACTGTCAATGTAAGCAGATTGGTTGTATCCTATTCATAGTTAGTTAACAAGTAAAATTAGTGGTTCACAATATATTAAATGGTTTTCAGATTTAATCTTCATAATTGATTGTTTGTTGTATTTTTTACATACAAAACATAGAATACTGTAGTTTTTAAAAAGGAAGAATAAACATATTTTGTCGTCAATTTACTTTGAATTTTGAAAGGTGTGTAATATTGAATGTATCAGAAATGTGAGTACAAGTACATTGAAGCAACTAAGGTGTGAAGAAAAAATTACAATTGCCTTGACAGTAAATGTTTTGACACTTTGTGAAGAAAAATTCAGGGTAATTGTTTATGCTTTGTTAGGGCTTTATGATTGAGATAATCTCCTGACCAATCACTGATACTGTAGGCTTACCTATGGGAGGATGACAAAGCTATGGTGGAGTGGTTGACAGAACAGATCAGAGAAGACAGTATAGACAACGCTGTATCAGACAACATCAGATGTCTACAGAGGGAGCATGTCCTACAACAAGTCAGGAGGTAGGTATCAGACAACATCAGATGTCTACAGAGGGAGCGCGTCCTACAACAAGTCAGGAGGTAGGTATCAGATGTCTACAGAGGGAGCACGTCCTACAACAAGTCAGGAGGTAGGTATCAGATTTCTACAGAGAAAGCACTTCCTACAACAAGTCAGGAGGTAGGTATCAGATGTCTACAGAGGGAGCATGTCCTACAACAAGTCAGGAGGTAGGTATCAGATGTCTACACAGGGAGCATGTCCTACAACAAGTCAGGAGGTAGGTATCAGACAATATCAGATGTCTACAGAGGGTGCACGTCCTACAACAAGTCAGAAGGTAGGTATCAGATGTCTACAGAGGGAGCACGTCCTACAACAAGTCAGGAGGTAGGTATCAGACAACATCAGATGTCTACAGAGGGAGCACGTCCTACAACAAGTCAGGAGGTAGGTATCAGATGTCTACAGAGGGAGCATGTCCTACAACAAGTCAGGAGGTAGGTATCAGATGTCTACAGAGGGAGCACGTCCTACAAGAAGTCAGGAGGTAGGTATCAGACAACATCAGATGTCTACAGAGGGAGCACGTCCTACAACAAGTCAGGAGGTAGGTATCAGATGTCTACAGAGGGAGCATGTCCTACAACAAGTCAGGAGGTAGGTATCAGACAACATCAGATGTCTACAGAGAGAGCACATCCTACAACAAGTCAGGAGGTAGGTATCAGATGTCTACAGAGGGAGCACGTCCTACAACAAGTCAGGAGGTAGGTATCAGATTTCTACAGAGGGAGCATGTCCTACAACAAGTCAGGAGGTAGGTATCAGATGTCTACAGAGGGAGCACGTCCTACAACAAGTCAGGAGGTAGGTATCAGACAACATCAGATGTCTACAGAGGGAGCACGTCCTACAACAAGTCAGGAGGTAGGTATCAGATGTCTACAGAGGGAGCATGTCCTACAACAAGTCAGGAGGTAGGTATCAGATGTCTACAGAGGGAGCACGTCCTACAACAAGTCAGGAGGTAGGTATCAGATGTCTACAGAGGGAGCACGTCCTACAACAAGTCAGGAGGTAGGTATCAGATGTCTACAGAGGGAGCACGTCCTACAACAAGTCAGGAGGTAGGTATCAGATGTCTACAGAGGGAGCACGTCCTACAACAAGTCAGGAGGTAGGTATCAGATGTCTACAGAGGGAGCACGTCCTACAACAAGTCAAGAGGTAGGTATCAGATGTCTACAGAGGGAGCACGTCCTACAACAAGTCAGGAGGTAGGTATCAGATGTCTACAGAGGGAGCACGTCCTACAACAAGTCAGGAGGTAGGTATCAGAAGTCTACAGAGGGAGCACGTCCTACAACAAGTCAGGAGGTAGGTATCAGATGTCTACAGAGGAAGCACGTCCTACAACAAGTCAGGAGGTAGGTATCAGATGTCTACAGAGGGAGCATGTCCTACAAGAAGTCAGGAGGTAGGTATCAGACAACATCAGATGTCTACAGAGGGAGCACGTCCTACAACAAGTCAGGAGGTAGGTATCAGATGTCTACAGAGGAAGCATGTCCTACAACAAGTCAGGAGGTAGGTATCAGATGTCTACAGAGGAAGCACGTCCTACAACAAGTCAAGAGGTAGGTATCAGATGTCTACAGAGGTAGCACGTCCTACAACAAGTCAGGAGGTAGGTATCAGATGTCTACAGAGGGAGCATGTCCTACAACAAGTCAGGAGGTAGGTATCAGATGTCTACAGAGGAAGCATGTCCTACAACAAGTCAGGAGGTAGGTATCAGATGTCTACAGAGGGAGCACGTCCTACAACAAGTCAGGAGGTAGGTATCAGATGTCTACAGAGGAAGCATGTCCTACAACAAGTCAGGAGGTAGGTATCAGATGTCTACAGAGGGAGCATGTCCTACAAGAAGTCAGGAGGTAGGTATCAGACAACATCAGATGTCTACAGAGGAAGCATGTCCTACAACAAGTCAGGAGGTAGGTATCAGATGTCTACAGAGGAAGCATGTCCTACAACAAGTCAGGAGGTAGGTATCAGACAACATCAGATGTCTACAGAGGGAGCACGTCCTACAACAAGTTAGGAGGTAGGTATCAGATGTCTACAGAGTGAGCACGTCCTACAACAAGTCAGGAGGTAGGTATCAGAAGTCTACAGAGGGAGCATGTCCTACAACAAGTCAGGAGGTAGGTATCAGATGTCTACAGAGGGAGCATGTCCTACAACAAGTCAGGAGGTAGGTATCAGATGTCTACAGAGGGAGCACGTCCTACAACAAGTCAGGAGGTAGATATCAGATGTCTACAGAGGGAGCACGTCCTACAACAAGTCAGGAGGTAGGTATCAGATGTCTACAGAGGGAGCATGTCCTACATAATTGATCATAATATATCACCTGATGGCTCAACAAGGGTTTGATAGCATTATTTCATTTCTTCATGTAGAGATGAAGAACTGCATGCTAACAATATTAGGAACCAGACTGTCTGACTGAAAGGCTCTACATTCTAAGATTTAAATATCAGTTTACTTAACCATAATTCATTGCTTGGTTGCTCAGTCTAGAAATTCTAATAGTTGTCTTCTCCTCAGGGTATATTAAATTTAGCTAAAATATCAGGTTTATGACATAAGATCTACAGATTGTCTCCCTTTAATTGATAAAATAATGCTCTAAGCTTACTTTAAGATTAACACACTTTGCTACTGTTTTCAGTTTGATACAAAACAATCCAGAGGTTGCTATGGATTCTATTGTTCACATCACTCAACACATGACCTCAAGTCAAAGGTCAGAGGTCTCCAGAATTCTGGCCAACATGGACACGTGACCAGAATGGACAATTAGAATCAACAGTGACTGTATTTAAAAACATATCTATTTAACAAATCATTTGAAATCATTAGGTGCAATTTGGATCAAATTTGCATAAAATTGCATTATATGAAATCCATATCTGTCATTCATAATGACTTAATTATTAGAATTGTTTATAAATTCGTGTCGTAATTCAATTCAGTATGATATGTGAAACATTACCAGGGTTTGTAATTATTTTTGTACTAATTTGTACTAATTTATTATTACTCTTCCTATGATGAATATCATATATAGTGCTCACTTTTAAACCAAGTTGTGTATATTCTGAATGTTAATTTATTGACTGTCGAACAAATTGTCCATTTGTGTGCATTGAATTTAAGTTAAATGTAATCTGATATATGGAACACAAATTTAATAATTGAATGTAAAAGTAATATATTGCTTCACCTAGCAGTGTGGTGAATTATAATAAAAAGATATCAATAATTGAATATTTTTTTGTTTTCCTTTCATGGTTAAGGAAGAAAATGTTGTAAGAAGTAACTGTTTAGTTTTTTCCTCTCACTTAAAACAGATGGTTAGAGATATGGGATATGGATAATCTGATGTTTGTACTAATATAGACAGGAAATGTTAAGATCATTTGTCTTTTCCCTCTCATTTTACTGCTTTTAGCTACACAAATACTAAAGGAGGAATTTAAAACTTTTAAAAATTAAATGTAGATAAAAGCTGGTATAAAGCTGTTCTGTATAATAATTTAGCTGTGGAAGAAGGGGACTGACCCCCCATGTGTTTCTGAGTATATTTATCTTTCGATATAGAAATTTTCATTTTGATGCTCTGATTGGCTGCTTCACATTTTTTTTGCCACCCCATCATCCCTTTGAAAAAAGGGTTTTGAGTTTGAAATGTTTTGTTTCTTTACATTTAGCTCAACTGGTTGAAGACCATATGAGCTTATGCGATAGTAAGGTGTCCGTCTGTCCCTCGCCCAGTTAAATCTGTTGTTACAGTCATGTACAGTGAATGGTTGTTGCTACTGTCTATCTTATCAACTTAGTGTTCTTTGATACATGAAATACTGACATGGAAGAGAAATACAACAAGCAGTGAAATACAAATATCTGAATTTTTTGTTTAATGATTTATGAAAATGAAGACGGTAGTGTAAAACTTTATTTCGAACCATCAAAGCTTTCATAAGATTACAATGTTGAATGTTATCTTTTAAATTCAGAAGGTAACACATAACTGCCCTACCCCCTTCCCTTTTCTATTCCCAGCGTGCAAATCCACCATACACAAGAAATGCAGCCAGATTTTTACCATACATTAGATTTATCACTCTCTTGATCAGAACAAAAGAATGAAATCTTTGGAATATAAGTGCCTCAGATGCTGAAGTCGAAATTTCTCGAACCTGGTGCAGTGAAGTAACCCTTGGACTTCCGGATAACGGACTCTCTTTTATGTGAATGTTGCTGGTACACATAAATGACTGAATAAACAAATCTTCTTAAGCTCATTCCTCTGTTGACTGAATATTGTTGAACTTGTGTACATACAGTGACTAAGGACTGTACACTGAATATTGTGGAACTTCTGTACATACCGTGACTAAGGACTGTACACTTAAAGTCTGTATTCACAATTAAAAACCAAGGTCGTCTTGACTCAGGCATTTGGATCCCTGCTTTGAAGGCCCCTAGGGTTGGCAAGACAGCTATTGTGTGTGACAGAGTGTTCCACAGGCGGATGGCAGATGATCGAGTCTTGATCCGGGAGTGCTGCACACGATGAATCTAGATCTCATCCTGTGTCCTCTGGTTTTCGTGGTTTTAACTATAGTCAGACTTGTGATGGAATTGCAATCAGGTTGCATACAATCCTGTACATCATGACGACTTTCATCTTTTGATGTCATCGTTGTAATGCCACAATTAAGCTCTCTGATGAGGAACCTTACTGAGTATCAACGGCTTTGCTAAATTCTAACCACAGATGCTTGAGGACAGGACCTCCCCCCCCCCCCCTTCGATATAGATTCCTGGGCTTTTTCGACTTTTTTTCTCACAAATAATCTTTCATAGACATATTTGTTATAAGATCTACACCAACAAAATTACTTGAAACAAACATTCTATAAAATCTACCCTACAATCTATATATAAAAATCAAATGATAATTTATATATAGAGAATGGGTAGAAAGGATCACTTCATTATAAATAGGGATCTGACCTATAGGACAGGGCTTTTTTTTTTCTCTAACAAAAAGCTTGTCGTTTTCCGTTCTGATTAATGACATTAGGCCGAAAACATATAACAATTTATTTTTTTTTCTAAATCTTTATTTCAGTGAGTAGAGGTAGGAGTAACCCTTTCATTAGGTCACCTGAGTAAATTTCGTCCGTTAACATTTGAACATTTTCAGCTTCTTCTCTGCAACCACTGAACCAATTTCAACCAAATTTGGCACAAAGTATCTATGGGTGAAGGGGAACAAAAATTATGAATTTCATGATCCCTGCTCCCCTGGGGCCTGAGGGGTGGGGCCAAAACCAGTAAAATTTATGCGATCTTTAAAAATCTTCTTCTTTACTCCTGGACATCAAGCAGTCAAACTGTTTGCATGATTGTAATCACCAATGAGTCCTCTACCAAAACTGTGAAATTCATGGCCCTGGGGTCAGGGGTTCTAGTTCTAGGGCGGGGCTAAATAAGTAGGTAGTGAAAATGCATTATTTCTTTGAAAATCTTCTTCTCTGCTCCTGGGTATTAAATAAACCAACTAAGTACATAGTTATGATGAGCAAGAGTGCCTCTACCAAAATTGTGAATTTTATGGCCCCAGGGTCAGGGGTTCTGGTGTTAGGGCGGGGCTCTATTGATTATAGTGAAAATACATGAATTCTTTGAAAATCTTCTTCTCTGCTCCTGGGTATTAAATAAGCTAACTAAGTACATAGTTATGATGAGCAAGAGTGCCTCTACCAAAATTATGAATTTTATGGCCCCAGGGTCAGGGGTTCTTGATTTAGGGTGGGGCTCTAATGATAATACAGTGTAATGCATGAATTCTTTGAACATCTTATCCTTTGCTCCTGGTTAATATACTAATGATCTAATTACATATTTAAGGCCTGGATTTATTTTATTTTCAGTTGTATAAACCCTCCGCTCAAGGTTTTGAATTTTCAGAAAAAAATAAAACAATTTTTTTCTTTCCGATGTCAAATTTGAGTCGGGATCGAGATTTCAAATTTACGAACTCGCGCTTCCTTCCGGTTTTAAGATGAAATGGCGGGTAAATAAAGCTAGATTGGTTTAGTGTAAAATTCATCGATACGAGTGCCATTCAAAACGTTTCACCCGTCAAAAGACAAAAAAATGCTGACGACTTTGTTGCACAATGACATGCTGGTGAGATAATTATTTATTCCTTTCAAAAGTATCTGTCTTGTAGTGAAATTGTGTATGTAAATGTATTCCCTATGACCTTTCACCCTGACCTCATAGCCATCCACCCGTGCTGGCCAGCATGCTTCCCCTCGTCAGTCAAGTCCAGTCCTACCTGTAGTCACCACGTGTGTTACCTGTTTCCTTTTCATAGTTTTTTGTTACCTGTATCGTATTCACCATGTAGAGTTTGTTCATTGGTCGTCACCTTATACATGTTATACTATACTTTAAGGTAGGCGACATTATTTCATAGTAAAATGTCTATATTTGACTTCATTGGCGTTGCCGGTAATTCGGTGCGGGGTGCATTGAATTACATGTTTTTATTTACAAAATTCACGTGTGAATTGTCTTTCACTCGTGAGTAAAAACACTCACGTGGAATGTTTTGCATTAAGTCAATGACATTTTAGGAAACTGTTGCTTACAGGCATTATAATTAACGTTATTTGCAAAGTTCCAACAATTTGACTAAGTTGGCATGTTATTTTTTCACCCGTGAGTAGCATTTCAACACGTGGTGATATCACGGTCCAATTATTTTGAAAGTTTCGTTTTCATTAGTATTTAGTATTATATTTATCGTACAGCGTTTTTTGTAAACGTTAATGTGAAAATTTTGAATATTTTCATGACTATTTAGTGAACAATATCGTAAGGGCGTTTTTTTTGTAAACGTCAGTACGAAAATTTTGAATATTTTCATTGTCTTGTGCAAATTGTATTTTTTCTTCTCGATACATTCAATTTCGGTCACGTGCCACATCGACTGAACTTTATTCTAAATTGTTCGTATATTTTATTCTTTTGCACGAGACAAATAGTTTTTTTTTTCTCTATTGAAAAGTTATTGTCACTCGTGTTGACAATTTTCGAGGAGCGCCGTTTTCTTCTCGATTCATAATTTGATTAGTATATTCATATATTGCTTTTTCTCTCTAAGTCCCTAAAAAAATATTTTGGGGGAAAGAAGAGAGATATAGTGTTTTTGTTAGTTTTATGTACATGTAGTTTCACAGAGCTAGTTCACTCAAACCGGTTTACCTGTTTTAGCTATATATAGATCAAAGCGCACGTGCTCGCTTTGAACAGCAGTGAACTGATTTTGTAGAGTTACGTTTTTACATATTAGCTCTGTGCAACAACAGTGAATATCTTTGCAAAAATATAATCAATTTATATAACATCATCAATTGATTATATTCTTTGATTAGTTAGTTTATCGGGTATTTATTTTAGTAACATCAGTACTTATTGCTACCGTCGTCTGTCATCGGGCGTTGAATTAACGTTGTAAGAGTCAGTGCGGTAATTAAGCAAGCCAATTTACAGATTAAGCTAGTAATCTATTAAGGGGTAGATATATCACAGAATTAATATTGTGGACCAGTACAGAGTTATAAAATAAAAGCAAAGATAAAGAAAATGCTATTTAAATACCTCCGATATACAAATAGAAAGAAAAGGATAGAAAGAAAAGAGAAACATCTAACTATATGCCAGAAACTTAACTGTTGAATTAAACAGGCTCAGATACAACTATATTGTGTTAAAGCTACGTTTAATTCAGACCACGGTGATTACACGGAACTTGT